CATTCCCACATCAGGCTCCTCAAAGAACCGGTTTCTGGTATCGCAGTTAGCTGCCTAGCCCATAACTGTTACAAGTCCAAATCTGAAAAACTGTCTAAAAGCGACTAAAAAGATTGAATGAATCTAAATTATTTTGATGTTCAGGATTCACGTTTCTTAACATTTCAGAAACACAGACTGGCAGGAAACATTTGAGTATAAACTGGATTCTGTCATGTCTTGTTTAATTAGAGCAGAAATAGAAATCCATTGAATGAGAAAACAATGTAACCCTGAAGACAGAGTTTACTATGAATAACTAAACGAGCAGATAAAAGTTCAAAGAAATCTTGTTTGCACACTTCTGAAAAATTGAATTAACAAAAATGTCATCTACATCAGGCCTGTTATCAGGAAGCATTCTGGGTAAAAGCATGCACAAAGAAAAGATAAAAGTAGGGAGCTAACCGCAGCAAAACCATTTCTTCTGCCACCATCGCACCAATGGAGAGGACGATGGACCAACATGCAAAAACCACACATTCAGTACAGAGGCTTGGTATGAAGTTTGAGTCATGGATGGATGAGTGACTGACTGCATGGTTTAGATCCTCAGCAGCAGTTTTACTTTAGCTTTAACCTTAGCTGGGGAGATTTGGATGATCGTCAGTGCTTGCTACAGTTATCTCCAAGTAACTGAGAAGCATGTGCATCTTAATAAAGTAGAATATGTTTTAAAAGTTAGCTTGTCTCAGTAATTCGGTTAAAAATAATCAAAACTATTTCCACATGGTCCTGTTCTGCATTTTAATGGAAAGTTGAGTGAAAGGAAAAAAGGTGGGGAGGCACCATAATTCAAATACTGTATTTTATCAAGTCCCATTTCAGCACAGCTGATTACCAGGACATTTCAGAGCTTCGAATCCTAATGTTATTACTATGGTATCAAATAAGCAATGAGAGAAAGCAGAGTCAATGTTACAGAGAAGCTGAAGGGCACAATCCAAACAAATGTGGCTTCCATTCCATCTCAGCACAACCACAGGTCTCCTCCGTACCATGCTGCATTGATGCAGTCATTCATGCAAAAGGATCCCTGACCAACTGCTTTGTGCAGAGTTCTTGGTCAGACATACGGACATACTTTGCACTAAGGCTTATCTTTTGTGGTTACTTGTGGATCTTTTTTATTAACCACAGGTTTTTCCTTCCGCTTAACTTTCTATTTTTTATTTTTGCATGAATACAGCAATCTCTGTAGAGCCAGTCTTTATAGCAATAACCTTTTGTGGCTTAATCTCCTTCTGTCTGCTGATTATATAGGCCATAAGAAAATATTTGTGTATTAAAATATTCTAAAAAAATACATCGCACAAAATTCAAAATTTCTACAAAACTAAATTCTGTAAGTCAGCTATGCAGTGAAATGCTGATTTATTGATCTAACTTAATATTTAATCTCTCTACAGAGGAGCGAGGCACTGAAACGTAATGCTAAGATGCTAAAACTTGTTCCAGATTCAGAATTCCTTCAAATGAATGCAATATTTATATTTTTTGAGTTCCCACACTAGGAGCTCATGTTTAAAACAGAAAAGAAAAAAAAAAAAAAAAAGAAAAAACAGTCAACAAATTGGGTCTCAACTGCACATCAACACTGCATTCAGACTGGAAGCTGAAATCGATTGTTTGTTTTCGAAGCAGCAGCTGTTTTGAGTGAGTATAACCAGGAGCAGCTGCAGGGACACGCTCAATGAAATGCAGATGTTGCATCTAAAAATAAACCTTTGTTTTTCTTCAGCTAAAACTGGTTCAGAGCAGCTTGGGGTGTAGAAAAACAGTTGGGGGAAAAGGAAAAAAAAAAACACTTCAAAAGAACAAGAATAAACTGAAACAAAACAAAAGTTAAATGGAAGTAATTAGAGGAATCAAAGAGGGGAGCGACTTGGATGAAACCCAGGCTAACTTCTGCTATGGTAGAACTAGAAGAGATCCAAACCTCCCACTGCTACATGGCAGATCATAAAACAAGGAAAATAGCGTGTTTCTTCATGTGCCATGCACAGCCAGAAAAGTGCCTTTTGGGTATTTTAGTTATAAATGGCAAACGTTAATTTAAACTGGAGGAGGCACCATGCAAAAAAAAAAAAAAGGCTGTAAGGGCTGCATCCCCACCTAACTAGGCCACACAGCATGCATTGAGGTCAGCAACACATCCTGAAAGCTGCGGGAGCCACTAAACCGAGCAGCGAAAGCAAAGACATAGGCAGCGTGAGAGGACGTGAAACAGAGAGGATGCCTTTACGCATGGAGAGTAATGAGACCAAGTCAGGGAGGTCTTCAGTGAAACAGGACATCTGCTGTATTTTTCTTACTCTCTATGAAACATAATGTCGATGTTTAGCACAGTTTGTGCCGTGAGTCTGCTCACTCTTCTGATTGGCTGTTGGATGCCACAGGAATTGCCTGAATCCAATTTATGTAAAACAGTCTTGCAAAAGTATTAACACCCCATTAAAACCACAACTTAATATTTAGTGCGAAAAGTATTACGTTATGATTCGTGCTTTCAAGATTTTTCATATGAAATAAAAACCTTCAGTTTGACATGCTTTAATGTTCAGGCCCTCTGTCAGTCACTACTTTGCAGAACAGCGTTTTGTGTCCCTCCAGGTGAGAGTCTTTTGAGGCATATCTCAATTTTGTCTGACAGCACAGCTTCTCAGTTTGACTTAGGTCTGGATTTGACTAGGCCATTCTAAAATATGCAGAAGCTTATGTCCATTGCATCTCTGGCTGTACGTCTGAAGTCTTCTGCAGCCTTTAAAAGTTTCCAATTAATTCCGACCTGCTTCCCAGTCCCAGCAGAAGAGTAGCAAACCCAAAGCATGATGCTCACACCACCATGTCTAATGGTGGGGGTGGTGTGTTCAGGCTGTCAGTTTGCTGCCACAGATAATGCTGTACTTTTGTTTCATCAGCTCAAAGAAGATATTTGCAGAAGTCTTTTGAGGATCATCAGGATGTTTTTTGGGGAAAAAGTGAGATCGGCCCTTTGTGTTCTTTTGGGTCAGCAGTGGTTCTCACCCAGAAAAACTCTCCAATGGAGGCCATTTTTGTCTTGAATCATGACCTCTGACCTTAACTGAGGTAAGTTGGGCCAGAGCAGAGTCCTAGATGTGTCTCTGGGACCTCCTGGATGAGTCGTCGAGGGTCCTGGAGTCGGTTTGGAAGCTCAACTCTTTCTGGAAAGTTTTATGGTCCTCACTGGAGTCCCAAAGCTTCACAGATGGCTGCGCAACTTTTTCCAGACCAATCAATGCAATAAACAAACAAGCTGTTATGTAAGGTAGGATAACGATTAGATCTGCTTCACGTTGTTTACTAGACTATTTTTATTTGTGTTCGTGGCAACTAATAGGATATCAGCCTGATTCAGTAAACTAACCTGAGAAAATCAAATGGAGAAGGAAGACATGAAAAGATAGAGAATGAAAATAGAGAGAATAGAGAAATAGAAGATGATAGGCGGTGTTTAATCTGTCCCACTGCTCAGGTTTAGTGCGATGGGGAGGCAGCCCAAGGTCACGAGGTTCCAGTGAAACACAGCGGAGCAGAGGCTTGACCGTGACCAGGTCTGCCATGCAAGACACCCTGCAGGTTTAAAACATCTGAACATTTTATCTACAATAGGTTGCAGAAATATTCAGCCTCTTTTAACTTATTCAAGCCTTTACAGTACAATCACAGACTGCAAGGCAGTTGAATGGGATTTTTTTTGTGAAAGCCTGACATACAGTAAATATGAAGTGGAGTAAATTTATATTCCTGGGTCTGTACTGTTTAGAAGCGCTTCAGCCTCGTCGGGTTTTTCTCCAACAGCGTTCCTAAGAAAAAATACTTTTGTCTTTTCTATTGCAAAACAGTTTAAGTCCAATCAGATTTTACAGAGCTTGATTTTTTATTTTTAATCTTGCCACAGATTCAGTTACATTCAGCTCTGGCCATTTAAAATCCTGATTATGCTTTAATCTCAACATCTCCACTGCAGCTCTCGTTGTAAGTTTGTTTCAGTTGTAACTTAAACTATCCAAGTTTCTTTAAGGAGTCACTGCAGATGCTGACAGCTGTGTGCCAGAGGTCTGTGTTACAGCAGATCTGAAGAAACCTCTGACTGACTCCACTGCTGTCCCATGAAGAACATTATGATTGTCCATTATGTTATTGTTGCTAAGCATCTTTTATTTCGAACAATTATGGAAGATCCAAAACAGCATCTTCTCACAACTCTTGCATAAAGGCCATGAAGGCAGGACTAACAGCTGGCATCACCTGGTATCAAAGTAAAAGGGGATGAACACCAACGCATGCCAAAATCTTCAGATTTTTACCTCATTCTTCTCAAACGTCAAATTTATGAACTACTTCATTTTGGCCTACCAAATAAAAATCCCAATAAACTGCGCTGACGATCCTAGATCATTCATGTCAGATCATGAGTGCAAGTCGGAGACTTTAAATCCAGAGGCCCTCTGGTCACGGTGGGAGCCTGAGATGATGTCGTGTGTGGATGTCTGAGGCGGAATGATGGAAGTGGTACCTGGGACGGTGGTGGGCTCCGAAGCAGTTCTGAAGGAAGTGATGGACGGCTCGGATCGGCCCCGCTGATTCTCCGCCACCACGCGGACCTCGTAATCCGTGTTCCAGTCCAGGCCGCTCAGCATCGCGTAATTGCTGTTAGAGGGGAGGTGCGTTTCCGGTTTCCACTCAGACATATGCTTCTGGTGGGGAGGCGGGGCGCAGACAGGACAGGCGTCAGCACAGCGTATCATAGGGAGGCGCTTATTTCAAAATGAATGCACACCTGCCACCAGTACAATTACAATAAAACATGTCGAAACCAGATTTATGCATGCACTAGATTGAAATTAAGTAAGCACACTTTTATCGGATTTAGGTCAGTTTGGATTAACATGCACGGAGATCCCTACACCTGTAAACGGTCTGGTAAAGTTCAGATGATAGACCAGCTTATTCAGTTTCTGATGGGTTCATTCATAACTTATTGATGTACTTTTAATCACATGTCAAACACATGCCTTCCTTGTGGCACATCATGGAAAATCTAAAGAAACGAGTCAAGATATCAAGAAGAGAAACATGGACATTGACCATGTGAATCATCAGAGGGTAGGAGAACATCATGTTACATTCATCTGTCAAACAGGGTTATTTTACCGTTTTTAGGGAGGTTTTCCGGTGTACTTCCCAAAAACTTCAACCAGAAAGTTAAATCGTGATCTTTCAAACGGACAATGAACCCAATCTGGGCAATGCCACCATTGCCCAGATTGGGTTCATTCTAATGTCTTGTTGCTCTTAAAGTTGCAGATTAAACTTTGTTGTCAAGACTTTGTTTTTGTCTTGTCTTTAGAAGGTCAAGAGAAAAATAATGAGAAAGTGTGTACGTTTCTGAATTTGAAGCCAAATATATTCCGCAATATTAATCATTTTTATTATTCTGGCATTTAACAAATATAAATCAGCTTGATTTCCTCAAGTGACCTAAAACATAAAATGTTTCGTCTGATTTGATCTGATTTAGTGTTGTAGAATACAGTTTTTGTGAATATCTTTGCTTCAGCTGGATTCATAATTTGACCAGGACTGTCTGGAATAAGAGATCAGCATCGACTTACTCGGAGCTTCCTGGTTAAATAAAGCCTTTAATATATTTTAGTTTTACAAACTCTGAACCACAACCAGCAGCTAACATCTGCTGAGGTGGCCCGAACGTTAGCTAAGCTCCTCTCAAAGAAAAATCCTCTCAGAAGCCAAATCTAGTGTTTCTGTATGAAAATGATTATTTTTTTAAAATTACCATTTAACAGAAATCAGTTGTAAACAACCCCTGGTTGGAAGCCAACTGGGGGATTTAGTGTTTTACTGGTAATTTTCATTTCTCCCCAGTGAAAAATGCTCATTTAAAATTGGCAGAACCCAGTCTGGGAGCATGTGTTTGTTTCAAGACGATACAAACTGTAGCCTTAAAACAATAGCTCGGATTAAAGTGAGGCTAAATGTGTTTGTGTTGCTGCTGGCGCCTCTCCTCATGATAGAACCCAGCTGGTATCTCCTGCTTCCATTTGGCAGCAGGATGTCTCCAGGACTTTGTTATTTCTCATGTTAATCGGTGTAGAAACGGAGAAAATGCAAAGTGGCACCCTGCTGCCTCCTTGCCCGGTGTACTCACAGCCTTGTATCTGATCAGGTAGCGTATAATGGGCGAGCCTCCGTCGTCCTGCTTGGTCCACTTGACTTTAGCAGAATTACTGCTCTTTACAAGTATGACTTCTAGTATGGGAGAAGTTGGTTCCCCTGCACAAGATCAGAACATAATTATTAGTTACATCAATAATTTTTAGCCCAGTTTGTGTTTTAGATGCTGGGCATTTTAAGTTAACTTGCACAAACTGAGGGAGACATCTGGATTTCATTAAAAAAAAAGGGTTCTGTGAAGGAGTTCAGAGTAGTCAGTGATTTCTTTGCATGTAAAAATGTAAATGAAGCAGATTTTTCAAAATGTATACTTTACTCTTCTTAAGTTGCTCAGGTTTTTTTTTTTGTAAGTTTGTTGTGATAGACAACTCTTCAATGTAGGAAAGACAATAAAACATTGCATTCAATTCTTTAACATCCCTAATGGGTAAAATAAAATAGCTACTAGCTTAAGCTTGACCATGTCTACAGTCGGAGCAAATCTCTAAAAGTGAGGATGCTGCATTACCTCCGTTACAACCATCCTATTCAGGTGTGTTGGATGCATCAGGTGTTTCACTTACTACTAATCTCTACTTCACAGAACCCAAAATAATCCAAAGTTTTCTTCTACAGTAAATGCTGAACACAGTTTTGGAACCGACTTCATTTTAAATGGAACAGTTTCTTTACAAGCTGTTAGAATCAGATGACCGTCAAATGTATATGCAATGTTAATTATATTGTCATACAAGCTGTCCTTTGTTTATCCTGTATAATTCTGTAACACTGTTGACACTAAAGGACCAAACTCAGAAAAAGCCTTTTTGGGATATTTTTATGCCCCAACAGTTATTGGTACCTTCGTAATGGCCTATAAACAGCCTACAAATAAGCATACATTTCACAGCATTTGTTGTATCTAACATTGAATGTTTTTTTTTTTTTTTTTTTTTTAGATAAACTCAACATTTAACATGACTGCATGTATTCATAACTGAATATTAATCCCAAGTTAGGAAACTATAGATGTTTTAAGCTAAATCTGTAACAATTAACATGAAATAAATGTAACTGAATGTATTTTTAATTTATGAGTTCAGGTAAATCAGAGTGTCAGGAAATGGATTAGTAATCCATGACTTTTGATGCTTTGATGAGAGAGAAATGATGGAAATGAGGAGATATTTTAGCCACTCTTCAAAATAGGAAATGCTAAAGAACACCAATTTCAAATAAAGACGTGTTTTTCTCTTCATAATCAGGAAAATGGCTACAATAAAGCTAACTAAGTTGTAGACGACTGATCTGTAACGTCTTCCAGTTTAAAAGCAGCCGAGTTGCCAGACATTCCACACATACCAAGGATCATACTGGAAGCACTTTGCTGCTATTTAGAGATTGGAGTGTGAATTAGGAGCATTCATTTCTATTTAGAAGCCCTGGTTCAGGAATAGTGGCTCAGTAAGATAATCCACATACTTTAGACTTGTTTAGTTACAACTGAGGTGAATTAAATTCTGTATTGTAAATAAATTCAGTCTAAGGGAATGGATGGGTAAAAGAAATATTCAGTTCTTTCCACAGTTTCTGTTTTTGTGATTTTGTTTTTGCAATCAAAATCACAGATTTTGTGGTGCTATTCTAGAAATATTTGCAATTCATTTCTTCATTATTTTTACTCAGTAAGCCTTTTCCAGAATCCACATATAGAAGAAAAAAGATGAGGAAAAAGCACAAGTATTTTTATTCTTTAATGAACTTCAATAGCTGTACATCAAGAAAGGCTGAGGCAGAAGTGTAGTAGAAGTAAGAAATGCTGCCACCTGCAGGTGGGAGTTAGCAGTCATTTGTATTTTTGACCGTTTTTGCTGAATATTTGCAATAAACTCAAAATGGCGCATTAGGGAGAAAAAAAATGCAAGGACTTGTTGATTTTGAATGATATTCCATGATAGTGCAACTGCAAAAAGAAAGAAAGAAAAAAAAAACACTGGAGGGACTGAAAATTTAGATTTACACATCACAAACATTTTTACCTGGGGTGCCAATAATTGCCAAGTGTGCTTAGATGGTATTTAGTCAAAACAGGATTTTAAAACGTAAATCTCAGCTAAGCTGGTTTGTTTCTTGTCACTAGATGGTCGATTTAAATCTGTTTTTGATCATAGCAAAGTGAGATTTAAATAAGTCACAAAAAACCCCATCATTTTAAAAAAAATCAATGTATTCTAGTAACCCTGTTGGAGTGGTTTCATTCCAAAAACCTGAACCACTCTTACCGCTGCACTTGTACATGAAGAGAGATATCATTTGTGTTCAACAAATGAGCTTGCTTTTTCCGTGTGACATTTGGAAAAAAAAAAAAAACAACAAAAAAAAAAACCCCATAGCGGCTAATTTGAAGCACTTGTTGAGTCAGAAATAAACCAACATTTTAAGGCCAGAGTGAGAAATGGTATAAGCGTTAGAAATGACTGCGTGTGGATCATCAGCTGAAGGACAGCATGAGGGTTTAGAAAGGCTGCTCTCTGACGGAGGTGCTGCTCTCCTCCAGGCTCCTCATTATCAGCTCCGTCCTCCTGAGTAATTTCTGCTCGGTCGCAGGATAATGAGCCTGTAGGCCTTGATTGGACATGTTATCCTATTACTTTTAATAACATTTACATAGGCTTATGGGACGGAAGGTCAGCGCGGTTCTCGGTGCGTTTTTGTCTTGAATGTTTGCCTCTTCTCATGCGGTTTTGTGATGGTTGTGGAGATTGCGACTAAAAAAACAAAAACTCATTAGCTGTGAGCTGATTGGTTATGTAAATTTCCAAAACAGATCGCACACAGCTCGAAGTTTAATTTTCCGCAAAGCGGAGGAGAGGAGGAAATCTAATTCATGCATTTATTTTAAATTGCCCTAAAAAAGTTTCTCTTGCATGGATATTTAATATTCTACAGATCGGCACTAGCAGTTGAAGTTATTGAGATGAATATGCATGACGACACTTTATTCTTTAGGTTAGAGTGCTGCAGACTACAATCCAGCAGGCTGGGGTGAGCATGACTGAGGCTGGAAATAAATTAGAAAGTGTTAGTAAAAGCAGCAGCAGTGAAGCATTCAGAGAGGTTATCTGCAAGCATCGGTCTGGATTAGGAACAAACTTTCTGAAGCTATAACACTCGGAGAGAGAAAGTAAAGCGGTTAGGATGAGAGACTCAGACTGCGGGCTGGAAAATGTACAGTAGGTGCCACACAAAGAGGGTGGAGCATGTGGAGCGCCCACCACCCATTACTTCTACATAAGACATGCAGCCGGTGGCACCTTTCATCACATCCCAGCAAAACAATCAGAGACAACAGAAGTTAGAAATGTACAGAAGCAGTTCTAGGTTTTGTGCTCACAGCTCTGTCTGTTGCTGAGCGTAACTGAACAAAAAGCAAAATGAAGTTAAATTTGTGTTTCCACAAAGACGACATGACACTAAGGACGCAGACACATGCAAACAGGAAGGAGGTGCAGGGCGGAGGAAAGAGAAGAAATCTAATTTGCAGGACGGGCTGCGGAGACGCGAACGTGTTGCGGTGGGTCCAATCAGTGGAGTATGAGAGGTTAAACTCGTTTACAATGAAAAGCATGGAAAATTGATCCTGTGGAGGATCGTGTCTAGCGGTCAGAATGCTGCAGAGGACAATGGGTGGCACCTTGAGAGGATGGATAAGATAAATACAAATATGGGAAAAATATTACTCATTAAGGCATTTTTTGCACCCAGGAATATGAAAATGTAGAAAAACTAAATGGAAGACAAAAGATTAGGCAAAAGTCTGTTTCCAGTATTGGGCTTTGACAATGTAAGGTTTTAAAAACTGCAAACAGTTTTTTTAAGGTTTAAAGGGATTCTGTGAGAAAATGCCGAGATGACCAGAGCTTCATCTGGCTGATACTGTAACCAGTTCCCACTTTATTCTGAAGGTGGTGTGAGTCCCACATTTAAATCCTGATTTAAATCTGTTCAGATCAGGAATCCTCCAGAAAACTGAGTCAGATCACACACAGGCGCATCTAAACAACCTGAAATTTAGAAGTAAAACTCAAATCATATGGATTTATTACACATAAAATAAAAATAATTCACATATTTATTTTTGTTAATTTGTATTAAAATGGCTCCCAGCTAAGGAAATCTCCTGAATTCAGTCTCTCTAAAAATTCAAATATTACATGAAACTATATATATATAAAAAAATACTGAAATCTGGACCTATCATATGTTAAGTCCAGTTAGTTGGGGCTCATTCTACAACCATGATGATGAATGATATGAAATATCTGTCGTGTGATTTCATGCTTAGTACTTCTATGCTAACGTTAAATGAAAAATGACAGAATGATCTAAAGTGTTTCAATCTAATTTCAAAGAAAAGTTACCTTCTGTTGATCACCGAAGACCACATCGTCAGCACCATGCAAGAGCCGCATGGCGCAGTCACATGATGCGCACGGACATGATTGGTCAAAGAAAATACGGGAGGGCCAGAGCGGGAAGAGGGGCGGGGCGGGGAGCCACATGGAAAACATACAAAACATTTTTGAAATGATGAAAACGTGTCAACAAAAAAAACAAAACAAATGAAAATGTTAGAGACAAAATAGCAAAACAAAACAAGAGGAGCAGATTAATCCCTGAACTGAATATTTTTAAAAAGGTTACTGGAGATAAGAGGCATGAGGCAACTTAAAAAACAAGCTAATAAAAATCAATGTTGCCTACAGCAAATTAATTTCAAATTAAAGCAAAGCAGTAACGCAGCAGCTGGGTTTGGTTTGGATCGGATGTGGGCATGAACAAAAGAGGAAAGTCTGCAGTTTTCCATGTACCAATCATGAGAACCAAGTGTGAAACAACACATTAAGTATGAACACATGGAAACTTGGCACAGCGTCAGACCTCAGGAGTCAGAGTCCGGCAGGTCTTGGAAGTTTCACTGCTTCAGCTCACCTGGTTCTGCGGGGCCCAGATCCATTACCGGGCCCCTGCAGAACCAGATGGAGTACTGAGGAGGGTCTGCAGCCGGCTGACACATCTAAGACCTGACAGACGCCAGACCTGAGGATTTGCTACCTTTATCACAGGGACGCAGGAACAACTGAGTGATGAAGCGCGAACTGTGAACATGAGGAGCCTGAACCTGCGTCTGAGACGTGACCAGTCTGGTTGAACTACAGAGAGCACACGGTTCATTCTGATGATTCCTGGAGGTTATCGCATAAACGAAGGCAATGCACATGGAAACGTTAGTCAGTTAAGAGTGAGCTTTTGTTTTATTTTTTTAATGAAATTAAAAAGTGTGGCGTCAGTGAATCCTGTTGCGTCAGTGAACCTCTTGTTCAGAGCAGCAAGTTAAAGCCCCCCCCCC